AAGCATCTAAATCAGACAAATCATATCATCCTATATAAGATATAAGCAAGCCAATAATGCATGCAAAAAGGCGATTAGATGGGCTAAACTAGAAAATGAGAAAGTGATAGCCAAAGAGAGCTAAACCAATCCATAAAGCCTAAAATATGCAAAATGAATGTGTAGGTGCGCTCAAAACAGAGATGGGTGTGCTAGTTAAAGTGGTCCAGGAAAAGGCAGACAGTTTAAATAAAAAAAAAATTCTGAGTATATTTTAAAGGGATACTGTAGGCACCCAGACCTCTTCAGCTAATTGAAGTGGTCTGGGTGCTGTGACCCTTTTGCACTTAGTGCTGCAATGTTTACATTGCAGCTCTAAGTCTGCCTCAGTGGCTGTCTACTTCTGGATTCGTAACGGACTTTTGGTCTGTTATCTGATGCTAGACGTCCTCACAGACCTTCAGCGTAAGATTTTCATTGAATTATGTTTTCCTATGGGGAGGTCTAATACGCGAGCGGCCATGGAGTGTGGACGGAGCCTGACCCAGCGCAAAGTGACATCGGCGCTGGATTCAGGTAAGTAGCTGACGTGGGATGGGTGGGGGGAGGAAGGGGGCCCTCCAGGATTCTCTAGTGCCAGGGAAACGGGTTTGTGTTCCTGGCACTGGAGAATCCCTTTAAGGTGGAAACTATGGAAAGAGATATGCTAATAATTGCTGCAAAATAACTTGCAGAAATATTGTGATTGGACAACTCAATATAAGGCGCTGCAACAACTAAAGAAAGTTAATGTAAACAAAGCTCCAGGGCTAGACTGATACTTCACCCATGAGTACTTAAGGAGCTTAGTGTGTAACACTGTTAAATCTTCTTAGTTTAGAAAAACGACACCTCAGAAGGGACATGATAACATTATACAAATATATTCGGGGTCAATACAAACCGTTGTCTGAAAATCTATTTATAAACAGGACTATACATAGACATGAGGTCACAAATTTAGACTAGAAGAAAGGAGATTTAGTCTAAGGCAAAGGAACATTTTCTTACAGCAAGAACAATAAGGATGTGGAATTCTCTGAGTCTGAGAGGTGGTTTTATCAGAGTCTGTATAGATGTTTAAACAGCAATTGGATGAATACTTGCAAAAACATAATATTGAGGTAAAGGATTTCTTTCGTAGTTTGTTGCAAAATTGGAAATCACTGTTTTTTTTTACCTTCTGTTGGATCAACAGCAAAAACAGATGCATGATGGACGCATGTCTCTTTTTAACCTATGTAACTATGATTTTAACTTGGTAATCTTCCAGAAAACACAATTATTATATTTATTATTGCCATTTATATAGCTCCAACAGATTCCGTAGTGCTTTACAAAATTATAAGAGGGGGACTCTTAACTATAAATAGGACAATTACAAGAACACTTACATAGTTATTACATAGTTACATAGCTGAAAAGAGACTTGCGTCCATCAAGTTCAGCCTTCCTCACATATGTTTTTGCTGTTGATCCAAAAGAAGGCAAAAAACCTAGTCTGAAGCGCTTCCAATTTTGCCACAAACTAGGAAAAATTCCTTCTTGACCCCAAAATAGCAGTCAGATGTCTCCTTGGATCAAGCAGCTATTACCCTACTAATTAGAAATTATATCCCTGTATGTTATGTTTTTGCAAGTATTTATCCAATTGCAGTTTAAACATCTGTAATGACTCTGACAAAACCACCTTTTCAGGCAGATAATTCCATATCCTTATTGCTCTTACTGTAAAAAACCCTTTTCTTTGCCTTAGATGAAATCTCCTTTCTTCCAGCCTAAATGTGTGACCTCGTGTCCAATGTATAGCCCTGTTTATGAATAGGTTTCCAGATAAAGGTTTGTACTGGCCCCGAATATATTTGTATAATGTTATCATATGCCCTCTCAGGCGCCGTTTTTCCAAACTAAACAGATTTAAATTTTGTAACCTTTCTTCATAACTAAAATGATCAATTCCTTTTATCAATTTTGTAGCTTGTCTCTGGACTTTTTCTAGTGCCATAATATCTTTCTTTAGAACAGGCGCCCAAAATTGCACAGCATATTCAAGGTGTGGTCTTACCAGCGATTTATAAAGAGGCAAAATTATATTTTCATTCCGAGAATTTATGCCCCTATTTATACAAAACCTTACTGGCCTTAGCAACTGCAGATTGACATTGCAAATTGCTGCCTAATTTGTTGTCTATAACAATTCCCAAATCCTTCTCGTGTGTGGTTATCCCTAGTTCACTACCATTTAGGGTGTAAATTGCTTGTGCATTCTTAACCCCGAAGTACATAACTGTATTTCTCTACGTTAAATTTCATCTGCCCTTTTAGTGCCCAGTCCCCCAATCTATCCAAATCCCTCTGCAGCAAAGCAATATCCTGCTCACATTTTATTGCTTTACAAAGTTTTGTGTCATCTGCAAACACCGATACATGGCTTTCAATGCCTATTTCAAGATCATTTATAAATATGTTAAATTGAGGTGGTCCCAAAACAGAACCCTATGGGACACCACTTATCACTTTTGTCCAGCCTGAAAATTTACCATCAAGGACAACTCGTTGTACTCTATCCTTAAGCCAATGTTCTACACTTTCATTTTTTTTTTTTTTTAAATGATGTACTTTGGGGGGTTGGTTTTGCATTATTTGGCTATCAATTTCTAATTTTCTAATTTAGCCACTTTAATTGCCTTTTTGCAAGCTTTATTGGCTTCCTTATATCTTAAATAGGATGCCTCTGATTTGTCTGATTTAAATGCTTTAAATGCCCTTTTCTTATTTTTAATCTCTTGTTTTACTTCTCTACTAAGCCACATTGGTTTTAATTTGTTTCTTTTACATTTATTACCCAATGGTACATACTGAGAAATGTACCTTTTTAATATTTGTTTGAATAGTTTCCATTTATCCTCAGTGATTTTATCACTTAGGAGTTTATGCCAGTTGATATGTTTTAGTATTCCCCACTTGCTTTTGCTTTTTTGAGTTTATTTTTTAAAATGTACCATATTGTGCTCACTATTTCCCAAATGCTCCCCTACTTGAATGTTGGTTAAAAGATCGACATTGTTTGTTATAACGAGATCCAGACAAGCATCCTTTCTAATTGGTGCTTGTACCAGTTGTGACATAAAGCTGTCATTTAACACATTCAAAAACCTGATTCCCCCAGCTGTTCTTCCTCATTAATATTTACATTAGGTGGTTTATAACATATCCCAACCAATAATTGATTTCCTTTTGTTTGCCCCAAGCAGATATCCATAAAGCCTCCAAATTTTCCTCGTCACACTCCACATGCCTAAGATTTGACTTTAACTCATGGTTGACATATAAACATACCCCACCATCCTTCTTGTTTTTCCTATCCTTCCTAAATAATGTGTATCCATTTAAATTAACTGATGTGTATCCATTTAAATTAACTGATTACAGATTTGATAGATAGATAGATAGATAGATAGATGAATAGATATAAAAAGATACATGTTGTGTATCACCTGTATACAGGGGCGTACCTAGAGCACCTACAAAATTTTTAAAATGTGTTTTTTTTTTTTACATTTTTAAAAATGTATTGCACAAATTTGTAAACTTTTTAAAACCCCTGCCCCTTCTACAAAATCCCTGCACCCCCTCACACACAGTTAAAGGCAGACAGTCACACACAGTTACAAGCAGTCACACGCACACAGTCACATGCAGACAGTCACACACACAGTTACAGACAGACAGTCACACACACACACAGTTACAGGCAGACAGTTACACACACACAGTTACAGGCAGACAGTCACACACACACACACGCAGACAGTTACACACACACATGTACAGACAGACAGTTACACACACACACACAGTTACAGGCAGTTACACACACACACACACAATTACAGGCAGATAGTTACACACACACACACACAGTTACTGGCAGTTACATACACACACAGTTACAGGCAGACAGTTACACACACACACAGTTACAGACAGTTACACACACATACAGTGTGGGCTGGAGGAGTGGATTCATTGAAGTCCTTCCCTGGTGCCTGTTAGGTGGAGGAGCAGGGATGTCTTCTTGCTGCACCTCCATATGCAGAAGTAACAGCAGCGGGTAAGCGCTGCGTTAAGCCCCGCCCCCATTCTCGGATTGCCCCTGCCCCCAATTGGCAGTAGCTCTTCTTCCTTCTGGCCAGTTCAGCTTGCAGGTCTCTCCGTGTGAGCTGTGTGACACCCCTGCTGCCATGGGGCACAGCTCACCCATCCCCCATTAGCTCTCAGACCAGGGTCATGTCACCCCCCCTACCACATGGCACCCTCCGCCCCCCCTTAGTCCGCCACTGCCTGTATATCTCAAGTATTATCTTTGGAAAGTCCCTCTTGGACACAGAAACTCAAGGAATCATGTTTCAACAAATATCCCAGAGTCCCCAGATTGGCATGCAAATGAGCAGAGACAGGCATCTTGTTTAGGACTTTATACTGCATTTCAGCAGATACTCTTAGCAATAGATGAAATTTCAAACACAGCTTTAAAAACTTTATCAATCTAATCAGCAAGGTGCCAGTCTTTTCCCAAAAGTTGAAGTCTCTTAGCTGCCTAAGGGTTTGTGGTGAAACTAAACAAATAAAACCCCACAGTGAAATTAGAACAATTGCTGTTGTGCATTAGCTCTATATCTCAAGTTGGCAGGGCCGGCGCTACCATAAGGCGGCCCAGGCGGCCGCCTTAGGGCGCACCAGCCCTGGGGGCGCGACATCAGGCAGACAGGAAGGAGGGAAGCGCACCTGGCTCCCCTCCAGCTGGTTACTACCGAGCGCAGCCCAGAGATTCCCGCCCGCGGAGCTCAGCCTCGGCCCGCCCACCTCCTATCCTGGTGTCTGCCGCAGGCTGTGTGGAGGGGGCGGGGATATGAATGACATCATATCCCTGCTCCCTGTGTCCCACACAGCGCAGCTGGCGCCCTGTGATGGGGCTGGGTTGCAGGACTGGACTCCACAGAGCCGGACAGCATGCACCCAGGGGACAAGATTTAACAGATGTAAGTATGTAATTATGTATGTATGTCTGTATGTCTGTATGTCTGTATGTATGTATGTATGTATGTATGTCTCTGTATGATGTGTGTATGTATGTATGTCTGTGTATGTCTCTGTATGATGTCTGTATGTCTCTGTCTGTATGTCTGTATGTATGTCTCTGTATGTATGTCTGTCTCTATGTATGTCTCTGTATGTCTCTGTATGTATGTATGTATGTCTCTGTATGTATGTCTGTATGAATGTGTGTCTGTATGTCTCTATGTATGTCTCTGTATGTATGTATGTATGTCTCTGTATTTATGTCTGTATGTCTCTGTCTGAATGTATGTCTCTGTATGTATGTCTCTGTATGTATGTATGTATGTCTCTGTATGTGTGTATGTCTCTGTATGTATGTCAGTATGTCTCTGTTTGTATGTATGTTTGTCTCTGTATGTCTCTGTATGTATGTCTCTGTATGTATGTCTCTGTATGTATGTATGTCTCTGTATGTATGTATGTATCTATCTGTATGCATGCATGTATCTATCTGTATGCATGCATGTATCTGTATGTATGTATGTCTGTCTCTGTATGTCTGTCTCTGTATGTCTGTCTCTGTATGTCTGTCTCTGTATGTCTGTCTCTGTATGTCTGTCTCTGTATGTCTGTGTATGTATGTCTGTGTATGTATGTCTCTGTATGTATGTATCTATCTCTATGTATGTATCTATCTGTATGCATGCATGTATGTCTCTGTATGCATGCATGTATGTCTCTGTATACATGCATGTATGTATGTATGTCTGTCTCTGTATGTATGTCTCTGTGTCTGTGTATGTATGTCTGTGTATGTATGTCTCTGTATGTATGTCTCTGTATGTATGTATGTATCTATCTCTATGTATGTATCTATCTCTATGTATGTATGTCTCTGTATGCATGCATGTATCTGTATGCATGCATGTATGTAACTAAATGTTTGTTTGTCTCTGAATGTCTGTATATATGTCTCTGTATGCATGTGTGTAACTGTATGCCTTTATGTCTCTGTATGTACGTATGTGTCTGTGTGTCTCTGTATGCCTGTATGTCTTTGTATGTATGTTTATGTATGTATGTCTGTATGACGGTTTGCCTCTCTATGTATGAATGTTTGTATGTGTCTGTATGCCTGTATGTCTTGTATGTATGTTTCTGTATGGCTGTATGTCTCTGTATGTATGCCTGTATGTCTTTGTATGTATGTTTCTGTATGCCTGTATCTCTGTATGCCTGTATATATGTATGTCTCTGTATGCCTGTATATATGTATGTGTCTGTATGGCAGTATGTCTCTGTATGCATGCATGTCTTTGTATGCCTGTATGTATGTATGTGTCTGCATGCCTATATGTTTCTGTATGCCTGTATGTATGTATGTGCCTGGATGTCTTTGTATGTATGTTTCTGTATGTATGTATGTGTCTGTATGACGGTATGCCTCTGTATGTATGCATGTTTTTATATGCCTTCATGTCTCTGTATGCATGTATGTCTTTGCCTGTATGTCTGTATGTCTCTGACTGACTGTATGTGTATAAATGTCTCTGTATGATTATTTCTGTGTTTGTATGACTGTGTGACTGAAAAATTATGCCTGTGGCTTGGGAGGAAATACACACAGGTGAAGATGCATTTTTTTTTTTTTAAAGGAGGTTGAGGGGCACCAAAATGCATGTTCGCCTGTGTAACTTAAAATCCTAGCACCGGCACTGCAAGTTGGTTGTATAGTTTTCCAGAACTATACCAGAATTCCCAGCTTGACATGCAAATGAGCACAGACAGGCATTGTGTTGCAGACTTCATACTCCATTGCTGCAGATACTCTTAGTAACGGACACTATTTCAAACACAGCATTTTTAAAACAATAGCATAGTTTGTGATCCAAAAAGACCATTATATTGATTTATAACTTTACCTATTTTGCATAATATATATATAAAATGTATTTTATGCAAAAAGTTACATTATAAAACAACATACTTGAAACTGTTTGACACTGTTCTTGGAACATTTTGGCTGCTTTTCATAGTTCTGAGAATTTGCAGCCACAAATTGATGCTTCTTAACTTGCTAAAACTGCCTGCAAGTGTCTGTGCTATATTCCTTCTGTGTTGTGAAACCTCAACCAACATAGCAGGAACTATTTTTTTAGCAGGCTGCGAGAACCACATATTGGTTGACCTCCCAAGATCCTGTGGTGTCTCACAGACCTTCTGTTCTCATATGGGAATGTGCAAATATACAATTACTAAAAGGAAGGTGGGTTGCACACCATTTCTAATGCAACATAAAAGTAATGCATTTAATAAGGCGATGAAGGGTGATTAAGAAGGAAGCTAAGATGTAATCCATAGGTCGTCAACCTGGTCCCTACCATTTTGAGAGATTGGGACCATTTGCGGCTCCGGCCCGCGCTGCAAATCGCCGTTCAAGCACCACCCGATGGATGTGGATTGTAAGGGGGCCCGGTCAGCGCTGGGCGCTTTAACAGCGCGACCGGGCCCCCTATGATTACATCACACAGAGCAGGGAGAAAGTGACTGCACGTCACTCCTCCCAGCTAATACACAGACCACGCGGGAGGAAGCAGAGGCAATCAGAATAGGAACTCTGATTCCCATTCACCTGAGCCACCACTGGACCCCGGGGAATGTCACCTTCCTGCATCTAAAAGTTAGGAAACAGGAGGGTGACTAAAGTATTTTGTGTGTGTTTGTTTGTGTGTATGTGTCTTTGTATGTATGTGTGTGTCTGTATGTATGTGTGTATGTATGTATCTTTGTATGTATGTGTGTCTTATGTATGTGTCTTTGTGTGTATGTCTTTGTATGTATGTGTCTTTGTGTGTATGTGTGTCTTGTGTCTGTCTGTATGTGTGTATGTGTCTTTGTATGTATGCCTTATGTGTGTGTCTTTGTATGTGTGTATGTCAGTATGTATGTGTGCCTGTCTGTTTGTATGTATGTGTCTTGTGTGTGTGTGTGTGTGTGTGTCTGTATGTGTGCCTGTCTGTGTGTCTGTATGTATGTATGTATGTGTGCCTGTCTGTTTGTATGTATGTGTCTTGTGTGTGTGTGTGTCTGTATGTGTGTATGTGTGCCTGTCTGTGTGTCTGTATGTATGTATGTATGTATGTGTGCCTGTCTGTTTTTGTGTATGTGTGTCTTGTGTGTGTGTCTGTATGTGTGTATGAGTGTCTTGTCTGTGTGTGTGTGTCTGTATGTATGTATGTGTGCCTGTCTGTTATAGTGGGCTATAGTAAGTAATAGTATGTGGGCTACCTAGCTCAGCCTTCCTACTGGGCATTGCTATAAAGAAGGTTAAAAAATAGAAAAAAGGAAAAAAAAGGAGGAGGGGAATTGAGGAGGGAGAGGAGGGGAGCTGACGCACAGATGAGAAATCATATTATGCGCAAACAGAGAAGTCGTCTGAATATCACCGAAAGAGGAGACCTTCATTTGTTCCTTACGAAAATCGAACCAGATATCAAATATTTAGTCTTGCAGCATCAACCTCAAGGATCTCATTAATCACTAGTAAAGGTAATTTCAATTTACTTTATTGCTTTCTCATTAAACTTTATAAAGTTAAAAACATTATAAACATGCATTAAGAAGAAATAAAAAGATAAATGTACGTACATTTATTTATTTTAAAAAACCCTCCTTTCTAAAAAATATTCTGCACTTGCGCGAAAACTGGTGGGCGGTAAGGAAATTTTTCCATCAAGAAAGATGCATTAGTGGGCGGTAGGTAGAAAAAGGTTGACTACCACTGATGTAATCTAAGAGTAAAAGAGTAACCCAGTTAATTTTATTTAAAAAGCAACATTTACTTACTGTTTAAAAAAAATGTAAAATGTTTATTTAATCAAAGCTATAAAAAGGAAAGAGGGGAAAAAAAGTGTGAAAATATGCAACAACAAACAAATACGTATTCTAAATTCTAAACAGGTAGTGAAAATCTAGGTGTAGCACGTTTAAAATGAAAAGGTGTTAGAATACAGGATACAAATGTATTGTGCCAATAAAGGAACATTATAGTCACCCAGATCACTTAATCTCATTGAAGTGGTCTGGGAGCAGTATCCCTGTGCCGCTTAGTCCTGCAATGTAAATCATGGCAATTTTTGAGAAACTGCAATGATTTCATTGCAGGACTAAGACTGCCTCTAGTGGCTGTCAATCAAACAGCCACTAGTGGCACTTCCTGTTAGTTAAGCAACTTTTGTTTGCATAACTCTGACTGTGGACGTCCTCACGCTCTGGAAGAAGACATCCGGTGTCAGTAAAAACCCTATTAGAGAGCATTGAAGTAATTAATTCCTTTGGAATGGGACTAATGCGCTCACGGCACTCGCTTCACATTAACCCCCTTTGGAAGAGGTTGGAGGAGGCAGAGCGCCAACCCAGCGCAGTGGAACATTGGTGATAGAGTCGGGTAAGTGTTAACAGTTTTTTTTAACCTTTCCATGCTGGTGGGGTTGAGGGAGGGAGCTCAAGGTAAGGGTGTGCGGAAGAGGGAACTGTAGTGTAAGGAATACAGATCTGTACTCCTTACAATAGCGAATCCCTTTTAACTTCAATGTAGCAGAGGTTTATGGGAAACATACAGCCATTTGTTTGTGCCGCATGTTTACTTGCAAACCTGAACAGTAGCGGATATAAACATCTGTTAATTAGCAAGAGTGTTTCTTCTTATTCATAGTCCTTTATCAATGAATGTGACCGCTCTGTGTGCTATATTGTGCGCTCACTGAATTTACATGACATACCTGCAAAAGAGTTGCTTTCTAAAGACTCAGACTGTCCAATGCTATATGAATGGACCACAAATATGTAACAACATAATTCAAGAACCTTTCCATGCTGGTGGGGTTGAGGGAGGGAGCTCAAGGTAAGGGTGTGCGGAAGAGGGAACTGTAGTGTAAGGAATACAGATCTGTACTCCTTACAATAGCGAATCCCTTTTAACTTCAATGTAGCAGAGGTTTATGGGAAACATACAGCCATTTGTTTGTGCCGCATGTTTACTTGCAAACCTGAACAGTAGCGGATATAAACATCTGTTAATTAGCAAGAGTGTTTCTTCTTATTCATAGTCCTTTATCAATGAATGTGACCGCTCTGTGTGCTATATTGTGCGCTCACTGAATTTACATGACATACCTGCAAAAGAGTTGCTTTCTAAAGACTCAGACTGTCCAATGCTATATGAATGGACCACAAATATGTAACAACATAATTCAAGAATTCTTAGTACTTTTTTAAATCTAACACATTTTCCATTAAAGGATCACTATAGGGTCAGGAATGCAAACATGTATTTCTGGCCCTATAGGGTTAAACCTGCCATTTAGGTGGCTTGCCCCCCTTAAACCCCTATAAAAGTTTAAAACTCACCTTATTTCCAGCGTTGCGCGTGTCCGCCAGTGCTGGCTCCGTCCCCTCTGTGACATCAAAA